GCACCATTCTTCCACATCTTGCCTCATACCTATCCAGTAAAATCTCTGCCATAGGTGACTCAATGTGTTCTTATCATGGGATTGATGCAGCACAACTTCCCGTAACGTTCTTGGTATAACTGTTTTCCAGGTCGTCACTTTCCCATCTCTGGACAAGTATACCATCTTCATACTTCAACTTGCCCAATAGTTCATTGTCACAGGGCTTAAGCTAGACACCTTCTCCCAAGTAGGGTGCAAAACACTTGCTTGTAGAAAATCAATTATTGGCTTCAAATCTTGGTCTTTCTCCTGTTCTGCTTTAATATCTATACTTGGTTCCACTTCACCATCATCAACTCCTTCAGTCACTTTTGACTTCAGCTTGATGGCACCTGGTTAGTCCAACCTCTCTTTTAACACTTACCAGAATTTGGCCTTTGTTGTTCCCAAACGTCATTTTATCAAAGTTAACTACACACTTCCTCAGTAGTAGGTAGTCCAACCCTAATATGCATGGGTCTTCAATGTCAGCCAAGTATAGTTTGTGTCTGCCCTTTATGCCCATGAGCTCAATAGTTACCCACACCGGTCCCCACAACCTTGTATAATGTCCTGTCACACCACAGAACTTCTGTGTGGCTTCTGGTACTCCTTTGTGATCCAACACCTTGATACTCACAAGGGTTTGCTGAGATGCAGAATCTATGACAAAGTTGCATCTTTGGCCATCCAGCTTTCCTGTCACGTAGACACAATGTGTGCTTGCCATTTTACACTTCGCTGTTGGGACTTTCACAATTGGGGTTGGTGGCCATCCCTCAGCACCAACCACTACTGGTTCCTGAAACTGACTTATTGTTAGTATTCTTACACTGGCTCCTTATATGTCCTTGCTCTCCACAGTTCCACCAACCTTTCTGGGTAGCGGCCTTTCATGCCGTGGCATCTCCTCTGTGTTGAAGTTGCAGGCATTGAGCTCTCTTGTGTCCAGGTTTGTTACAGTGCCAGCAAAGTCCCTCAAACTTTTCTGAAAGCTGCCCTTGAATCCTGATGACTGTACCAACCTTGGTACCTCTGCACTGGACTTAAAATAGGATTCGAATTCGAGAGCTCTGGCCATTTCATCCTGCATGGTAGAGGGGTGTGCTTGCTTTACTTGTATCTTTAGTTGTGGACTGTCCGAGGTGTCTAGAAACTGATCCCTCAGCAACAGCTTGAGGACGTCGGGTGGTTCAGTTGGGTAGGCCTTGTGTGCTATACTTTCCAAATCCCATGGCAGCTCTAGCAGGCTCTCCCCTTTTAGCATGGACTCTAGTCCTAAACCTAGCCCTGTAGACTTCCGACTGATTTTGAGTTCCATACT